CTTTTAAATTTTCTCTTCCTCAAATTCCTTTGTGAATGAATCAAGCTTTTACTACCTCATATAAATAAATATTCACCTCCTGTCTCAACATGTTTTATTATTCAATCTTGTAAGACTCTAAGCACATCCAGGAAACATCTTTTGATGTTTTGACACGGAGGACGTCATAATTTCAAATGAAATTTTCTGTGCAAGACCCATTATTATTTCATAGGGCATTAAGACTTAAAATATAAACTTTTCACAGCCTTTCCCCGCACATCAGGAATTAATAAAGGCAGATAATGAAGACCATGAGCATTTGATCTGGGCATTAGCAGGTTAGCAGACCCAGAACAGCTTGTTCTGACTTTTCATTCTGAGAGCATTGGTGCACAGGGGTGTCAGAACTGGAAATCGGCATGGAAATAAATTCTCTCTCTTCTACTAAATGGGGAAATGAGGTCCTGAGGGATGTGTGCGTGGCTCTTTTAACACTTATCTCGGGGCGCTGTAATTCCTGGTTTGTACGTCTGTTTCCTGCTCTAGACAGAGACCTGTGGGACAGGATCTGTGTCTCACCCATCATGGGATCCCAGGGCCCATCTGATGCCGGGGCAGAGAAGCTGCTCGGGAACTGTCTGCTGCAATCTGCTGAGGGTTAGTGCTGAGCACCCTGGGAGACTAAGGTGGATACACATCTTGTTCAGTGAATGTTCTATGGGTGAATGAATGGGAAAAAAATGGAAGAAAAGAAGGAAAGACTGGGTGGTGGGGAGAGAACTATGTGAATCTTCCTTACTGTGTTATTACTAGTCTAATTTCCTTCAACCTTCTTTCCTCTTCACAAATGGATCCCAGCTTCATCAATATTTCTTTTTCTTTTCCAAGTAGTTCATTTTTATTTAAAAAGCTTTTTCAGGTTTTCATAGTTTTTACTGAAGTATAGTTGATTTCCAATGTTGTGTTAATTTCTGTTGGACAGCAAAGTGATTTGGCTATATACATTTTTTTTAAATACTCTTTTTCATTATGGCTTATCATAGGATTTTATAAAATATGACACGAATGACTGTATCTGAAACAGAAACAGAGTCGCAGACATAGAGAACAGACTGGCGGTTGTCAAGTAGCCCTTCCTATATCACCTTCCACTTCACCAGGAAACACGTGGCCGTGTTCAGGTCCCGGCTGCATCTGGACAGCCCCCAGCCCCTTCCTGACCCTGGATCTCCAGGCCCGGCTTCCCCCTGGGTAGCGCAGACACCACCCCACCAGGAAGGCTGTGTGAGTTGACACTTCCAGGGCACTGACCCACCCACTCTGAGCTGCGGGTTTATAAGACAGCATCTGGGAGTGAAGAAGCCTGCCAGCGGGCAAGGAGGAGACTTGGGACCTTCCCAGCCGACTCACGCAGGCCAGGGAAAGAAGCCACGTGTTCTGCCTTGGGCCAGGGGGCACTGCAAGGGCAGAGGGGCCATCACAGGGCCCTCCCGCCAAGCCGGCTACGGGCTGCGCACCTTGCAAACGTCACACTTCAGAGAGCACAACTCCTCCGGACGACGAGGACCACCCCTGTTTATCAAGAGGAAAACTGGAGCTCAGAGAGCTTAAGCTGCTTGAGGCCACTCATCTGAGGAGGAACAAAACCAGATCCCAGCAGGGAGCAAGCTCTTGGAATAGAGTCTTATGAGCTGGTCCTGCTGGTGGGGGAGTGGTGTGTTTCCCCCTCAATAAAGAATCTTTTTAAACTGAGGTTTAAGTGCACCCGTGGATAGGTCCATGGGTAAATGTCCTCCTCTTGAGCTCCGCAGGATGTTGATATGTGTTATGCAGGAGAAGGGAGTTCCACGGCCCAGTAAGTTTGGCTCAGATCTGACAAAGCCTGTGCCTGCAGATTCCTAATGTCTGAGTCCTGGTCTCCCCTTTGGTTTAAAATCCCTTGTGTCGAAAATGCTGTTGGTGGGAATGCAAGCTAGTACAGCCACTATGGAGAACAGTGTGGAGATTCCTTAGAAAGCTGGAAATAGAACTGCCATATAACCCAGCAATCCCACTCCTGGGCATACACACCGAGGAAACCAGATCTGAAAGAGACACATGAACCCCAATGTTCATCACAGAGCTGTTTATAATTGCCAGGACGTGGAAGCAACCTAGATGCCCATCAGCAGACGAATGGATAAGGAAGCTATGGTACATATACACTACGGAATATTACTCAGCCATTAAAAAGAATTCATTTGAATCAGTTCTAATGAGATGGATGAAACTGGAGCCCATTATACAAAGTGAAGTAAGCCAGAAAGATTAACACCAATACAGTATACTAACGCATATATATGGAATTTAGAAAGATGGTAACGATAACCCTATATGCAAAACAGAAAAAGAGACACAGATGTACAGAACAGACTTTTGGACTCTGTGGGAGAAGGCGAGAGTGGGATGTTCTGAGAGAATAGCATTGAAACAAGTATACTATCAAGGGTGAAACAGATCACCAGCCCAGGTTGGATGCATGAGACAAGTGCTCAGGGCTGGTGCACTGGGAAGACCCAGAGGGATGGGATGGGGAGGGAGGCGGGGGTAGGGATCGGGATGGGGAACACATGTAAATCCATGGCTGATTCATGTCAGTGTATGACAAAAACCACTATAATATTATAAAATAATTAGCCTCCAACTAATAAAAATAAATGAAAAAAAGTGAAATGATAAAGCAAAAAAAATTAAAAAATAAAAATAAATAAAATCCCTTGTGTTGAAAATGGCTGTTGAGAATGAACAGCAGTTGAAAAGTCAGTCAAATGAGCAGACTTTTCTTTTTCCTCTTCTAACTACTAGAGAATATAATGTCAGGGAGTCACAAATGTGTTCTCAGTCCCAAACTTAGTACCTCAAATATTGTGAGCTTGAGGACGTCATCAAGAAGAGAATTTTCAGTATGATGAGTCTGCGGGGGCTTCTACTTCTAATCCTCATGAAACGAGCTGGATGGTGTTGCTCTCCTATCCAAAAGACATTCACTGAGCAATCAGTGGGCATTTGGGGTGAGGTGGAGGGTGGAAATTAGTGGTAATGTAAACATGAATTAGCCTCAAGTCCAGATCTGAAGCAATTCACAGTTTAGAAGGTATCTCTACTCTGGTAAAGAAAACTATGCTTTGGATAAAACACAGGGCTATAAGAAAAGCACAGAAGGCTGTGAGATGCCAAACGAAGGAAAATGAGCTTGAAGCTGGGGAACTCAAGGAAGGCTTCCTGGAGGAAGAGAAATTATCCTAATTTAAATCATTTGCTCTCCTTCCTCTTCTCCTATAAGCAGAGTATATTTCCATGTTCCACTGATGTGAGGTGTGACTTGTGGCCAACGGGATGTTAGTGAGCATGGTAGAGAACAGAGTTGAGTGTGCTTGTTGGCACGAAACTTTCTATTTTTCCTCACACTACTCCTGTCACCATGACCAAAAATAACCATGGGCCAGGGAGGATAAAAGATATGTGGAGCAGACCCAAATCCAGCCTCCTACTGGGAGTCAGTCCTGGTTGAGTATCGCTTAGATCAGCTGATCTCCAGCCAACCTGGAGAAGCATGAGTGAGAATAAATGTTTGTGGCTTTAAGCCACTGAGTTTGGGGCTGGTGTGTTGTGTGGCATTTTTGTGGCAATTGCTGTCTAACACAGATAAGTTGGATCTTGAAGGAAGGATATGATTTGGATTAGGGAGAAGGTGGGGGGGGCTGCCAGATGGAAACAGGAAGATAAAGGCAAGAACCTGGGGATTTCAAGCTTGTGGGGAAAACAGCAAATGAGATGGAAAGGGGATTCAATAGACTGAAGGCTCAGAATATTGGAGTGGCTCCAAATTTTAGAAGATCTGATGCCCGTGTGAAATATTCAAGCTTTATACTAGAAAGGATTGTAGCAGGCCGAAGAATTCCTCTAAGTGTCTATAGTAGGCAGATACTTCCCCGAAGACCTTCTTAACCCTCAGAACTTATGAGGATGTGAACTGACATGGCAAAAGAGACTTTCAAGTGCTACTACATTAGTAATCTCGAGATGGGGAGATTATTTTGGATTATCTGGGTGAGCCCAACACAGTCATCAGGGTTCTTATAAGAGAGAGGCCGGAAGGCCAGAGAAAATGTGTGGCAGAAACAGAGATCACAGTGATGCCATCAAGGACTGAGGCATGTAGGTAGCCTCTAGAAGCCGCAGAATGTCCCCCTGCACCTCTGAAAAGAAAGCAGCCATGCCTGTATCTTGTTTTTAGTCCCATAAAGCCGCTTTTACCTCTGATCCCTTAAACTGTAAGATGGTGCTTTTTTGATTTGTGTTGCTTCATGTTACAAAGTTTATGACTAAAGGCAGCAAGTGGAAACTCATATGGTGATAGAACTTTATACACAGTGAAAACTCTGTTTAGAACTGTATTTTCATATGATTGCTTTATCAAATTGGCATTCATGTTGATAATAAGAGTTAATAAGAATTAATGCCAGCAATAATTATTAGCTATTATAAACAATTTATTATTGTTATTATTACAGTCCTCACTCAGTATCCAAGGCGGCGGGGTGGGGGGGTTGGGGCGAGTCCTGGAACCAATCCCCCAAGGAAGGCAAAATCCAAGGTTGCTTAAGTCCCTTACATAAAATGGCAGAGTATTTGCATACAACATGCGTGTATCCTCAGCATGACTTCATTTAAACCATCTCTAGACTACCCTATAGCACCTCATACAATGTAAGTGCTAGGGACACAGTTACTTGTACTTGCCAAATTCAAATTTTGCTTTGGTGGACTTTCTGGAATTTTTTTCTCAGTATTTTCAATCTGTGATTGGTCGATTTGAAGATGTGGAGGGCTGATTATACTAGCATTTATTGATCACTCCGTATTTGCCAGGAAATTTTCTAAGAGCTTTACAAGAGCTAACCCACAACCTCCCTGTGAAATAGGAACTATGACTGTCCCCAGCTCACAGACAAGGAAGTCGAGCCTCACGGAGGAAACTAAGCACCAAGAGATGCAGCCACAGGGTCAACGTCACGCAGCTCATCCAGCTCTGCACTTAGACATGGAGGGTCGGCGACGGGGCAGGATTCACTCAAGTGGGCAAAGGGATGGCGGCCTAAGACGGTGCATTCTGGCCGAGGGTTATTCCCACTGCACCTCTGGAGGGCACCACAGATACTGCCACAAGGAAACAGAGGGAGAAAAAAGGGCAAACCATGATATCGGCAGCTCAAACGCAGGAGCACATGGGCAATTAGTCAGCAGAAGGGACCCTTCCGGCATGAAGCCCATCTCAGAGACAGTGATAATCAGAAGAAGCCTGGGTAATGATCTGTGAAAACTTTAACATTTTTAAAAGGAGGTTGAACACAGCAAGAGGCCGAAATAAAAGCAGGGAAGCAGGAGAGGAGAATGGGATGGGAGAAGGGAGGGCGGCCCCTGATTAAAGCAACCTTTAGATGCATGAGAAAAAGACGGCTCCTATGGGTGTACATAGTCCTTCCCGTGGTCCCATTGCCTGGTGGGGTTGTTTTGTAGAGGTTTCCATCTCTCCTGAGCTCAGCCAGGGGCTCTGTGTTGGGCAAACCATATGCCCATCCTCCGTAGCCCAGCTGCAAGGGTCAACACCTGCAGCTCCCTTTGAATTTTGTTGTTGCTTGTTTGTTTCTGATAAACTTTTGATTTTAGAATGACTTTAGATTTACAGAGAACTTGGAAAGATAGAACAGAGAGTTCCTATAGACGCCACACCCAGTTTTTCCTACTATGAACCTCTTACATTATAGTTGGATGTTATCTCTATGAGAATCCCAGTGCCAACTATTTAATTCACTAAACCTAAAATAATATTGAACAGCTACTATGTGATAAGTGCTGGGTGCCAGCAAAAAACAGTGAGAAAGTGGACAAACCATTCTTATGTGGTTTACATTCTCATGTAACACGTAGATAAGGTGGCTTCAGACAGATGATAAATAGAAAAATGTGCAAGAAAGTGCCTTGCAGATTTGGGGGAGGCAGGGTGGTCAGGGAAATCCTCTTCGTTGAATTGACATGTGAGCTGAAACCTGAATCTTGAGAAGGGAAGAAAGCAATTCTCAGGCAGAGGAGAGATTCAGTGCAAGAGGTCTGGGGCAGAACAAGCTGAAAAAGTGAGAGACCAGACAAGTGTGACCACAGCACAATGTGTCCTGGCAGGCGGCAGAAGCCAGACATAACTTTGCAAGTCAAAGGCTTTTGAGCCAATTGGGCTGTGTGACCTCAAGCCAGTTACTCAACCTCTCTGTTCCTCGGTGGCTTCTGTACACAGAGCTGATGGGACAGGGCAATGTCCAGAGGCCTTGCAGCTCTGTAGCCAGCAGGATTCTTGCATGCAGCCCATCCAGCGGTGCTACATGTGCCCTTTACAACCCCACTGGCACCATCACGGCAGCGACAGGGGAGTGATGCTCTCGGAGTGTGTGACACAGAAGCCTGGGTGTTCAGCTCCAATACTGTCCAGCTCTGCCCCCATGACAACCCACTCCTCCCCCCTCTCTGTCCTCCCAGAGAAGCAAGTCAGGGTTGACATTACTGCAGAAATGGATTCTGGATATGAGATTCCCTGGGACCAGCAGCTCACTTAGGGGCTCCAGGAAGGGCCGTGAGGAGAAGAGACGCTCCTTACACATGCTCCAGGAACTCCTCTGGACATTCCCAGACTAGTCTGAAGAGCCTCTGAGACAGGCTGACAAGATGATGAATGTCAGACAGGAAAGAAAAGAGTTCAAAAGCCAGGGGCTAATTGGGTTGAGAAAAATAAACTCTGACTGCAGGAGACCCTTACAGAATGCCACTGCCCTGAGGTGGAGATAAGCCTGGGAAACAGCAAAGCTTCTCAGCCTGGAGTCAGAGCGCACGGCGAGCCGATAATGGCGACTAGGGAGTACTGAGTGTGTGCTCGAGGCCTTCTCACGAAAGCACCATTAGAGCAATGCAACCACTATCTTTATTTTTGGAAGGATGTTTCCCTTAGGAATATATTCACAGGCAAATCAGAAAACTAGATCAACAGTGGCTTAAACAAATAGGGTTTGTCCTTTTTTTGCTTTTGTTGCTTTTGCACATGGGGATAGGTCTGGGGGCAGAGGGCTCCTAACACTGTTTGGGCCACTTTAACCATGGTATCAGAGACCCAAGTATCTCTGGGTTTCCTTCTCTGCCATCCTTACCAGTTGCCATATTGCCTCGTATTTGTTGCCTCATGGTTGGAATGTGGCTGCTGTCAGTCTGGCTATCACATCCACTATCAAGACACTCTTATCTGAGAGGGATTGAATGGGCAAGTAAAACCACGATATTGACTCATTGAAATACAGCCTTGAAGAAACAGTTCACACCAAAGACAAAGAGCTGAAGCAGAGCCCTCAGTCCAAGAGTTTCTGAGCTGGCTGGACACTGATTCTGAAACCTGCGAATGTGTTTTATATCTCACCGAATAAAATTCCTGTAAAAGTCAGAAAAATTGCTTTTTTAATTATTAAAAAAAACAAACATTTGGCAAAGGGGCTGTGTTACAGAAGAGCAGGAAGCACAAGCTTTGTGGTAGAATTGTGGGGTCAGGGTTCTGGTTTAATAACCTGGGTTTCAGGTTATTAAAAATTGGATTAGGTTTTCAGACAAGGTCTGCACCAAATATATATAAAACTGCCAATGTTCTTATCTATCACTAACTTGCTCCTTGACCTCAAAAATGTTACCCAGTGTCTCTGAGGTTCCATTTTTTCATCTATAAATTGAGGGGGAATAAAATTGCTTTCTCCATAGTGTTCAAGAATTAAATACTTTTTTTTTTTAGTTTATTTATTTATTTTTGGCCGCACAGGGTTTTCACTGCTGCACGAGGGTGTTCTCTAGTTGTGGCGAGCTGGGCCTGCTCTCTGGTTGGGGTGCATGAGCTTCTTATTGCAGTGGCTTCTCTCATTGAGGCAAGCATTGGCTCCAGGGCATGTGGGATTTAATTGTTGTGGTGCATGGGCTTAGTTGTTCCGAGGCATGTGGAATCTGTCCTGCCCCGGGATTGAACCTGTGTCCTCTGCACTGGTAGGTGAATTCTCAACCACTGGACCACAAGGGAAGTCCTTAAGTAAGTTAATACATGTCAAGTGCTTTCATTAGTTCCACTGTGTATGTAGTATTCAGTAAATGTCAGCATTACTGTCAGCATCACACACACCCCACAATAAGCATCCATGTGCATCTCAACAACATCCCAGAATTTTTCTCTATGAGAACCTTGAAGTGTACCACAAATGCCCTACTTTACAGATGAGAAAACAGACGGGAAGCAGCCCTGTGATCCCCTGAGCACTCAGAGCTACTAGGTGGCTAAAGTAGGCTGGAGAAAAGCCGGGGTATACACCCAGCTAGAAGGCGCCTGAGTGGCCAGTGATCATCTATCCCTAAAAATTCCCTGTAACCTGGCTCCCCAAAACCTTCCATGGAAATAAACATTGGCCAGGAGCACAGGGCTCCAAGAGCTGCTTGCTTGTATTTGCTTTATATTTTGGGCTTCTGTGTCATATTTAGTTTTAGGGGGAAAGAGTTCAGCAGCTGAAAAATAAATGAACAAAAGGAATAAGCCACAGAAGTGTCAAGTCACTGGCTCTCCCCTCCTCCTCACTTTCCCTTTCTGGAAAGTGAGACTCAGAAGGGAGAGGCCATGTCGTTTGATGTCAGGGACAGCACCAGAGGCTGGGTCTTCCAGCTGCCGTCTCTGCAAGACCCACATCCCACCCTCTGCCTGGGAGCGCCCATAGAGTATTTCACCCTGAGTTTGATTTGGAGAAATTAGACCATTTGAAACTTCCCCACGGACTGGACTCACTGTGCACCTGTCCTAAACAATCATGAAAACAACTGCAAATACCAAACTCATGACATCACAAGCTGGCATCCTTCGGTGGGTAGACGCATGCCACTTTGAAAATGCTCTGCATTCGTGGAATGCTAATAAAATGTGTGGAAGAAATTGCATTTTAAAAGCATCATGGGAGACTGAGATTGCTCTTTTAAGAAACCCTGGGAGGAATCCTTTGATGGAGTAGGAATAGGAAAAAGCCTTTAACAATGGAATAAAAATCACTCATTTGAGTCTTATAAATCCAGACTGTGCTATATGGTGCTTCCTCCGAGCATATTGCTCTTTATGTGTGCAGCATGTGCCTGAATGCTCAGAGATAAATCAGCAGGATAACCATGGCTGAAAAGCCACAGCTCCGCCTCCTACAGCCCCCTCTCACCTACTTACTCCCCACCTCTCCTGGCCCTCACAAAAGAAAACTACCTCCACCCCTAAAATATCCAAGTAAATGAGGTCAGGCTGATTTCAAGCAAGGAGAACAGATTGGTGACAACCAGACCTGTGTTCAAGCGCTCTGATCTTTAGGCACCCCATCCCGTCCCCTCTGAGACTCTGTGTCTCCATCTGTAACGCAGAAATAGTATCCACTCAACTGAATTTAGGGAACACTTTGGGGAATCAAATTAGATGATGAATGCAGCGTTGGTGGTATAGTGGTGAGCATAGCTGCCTTCCAAATTAGATGATGAATGTAAAAGCGTTTGTCAGAAGGATACCAGCTCAGAGGCAGGAGAGAACAGAGGCCTCAGAGTGAAGCTGTCCTCTCTTCTCCCACCCCCTTACATGCAGTCAGCCACCAAGTCCTACAGAATCTGTTCAGTTAAATGCTCTGTGTGTGTTATCTCCTCTTCTCCACCTCTATGGCATGGCCCTAACTCAGGCTCACCTCAACTCTCACCTATGTTCTTAAGACAGCCTCCTCACTATCCTCCCAGTATCAAGATGCATCCACAGTGCAGTTAAGGTGAATTTTCCAAAACATAACTCTTTTTTTCTTTTTTTTTGGTCATGTGGGACTTTGGTTCTCTGGGCAGGAATCGAACATACATCCTCTGCCTTGGAAACTCACAGTCTCAACCACTGGACCACCAGAGAAGTCCCTAATAACCCTTCATATCTCTGCTTTCTCACAAGAAGAAAGATTCAGCTCCTGTGGAAGGCTTGGTAGAGGCTTCAAGATTCATCTTGCCCACTTTTCAACCGTTCCGTGGCCAGAAAATGTGGCAAACCGGGTACTTGCTCTTAAATTTTCCATTCGGCTCATAGTTCATTGGCC